ATGGAGGAAGAGAAAATGGTCAGTGCACATTACTCTTTAAGGATTATGTGTCATTTGCCCTTTAAGATGCACATGTATTTTATCAGTGCACTCAGATGTCATAAACTTAATGCAAAAGGCCCATTAATATGAGCACTGGCAGGCGAGCCCAACATTTTTTCTCTGATTTATCTGTAGTGGTACAGGAAAAAATGAATAGCTTATCCTATTCCAGCACTGCATCAGTCATAATTCTCAAGCTGACACCTTATTCTCCACGCATTTAATGGATACAGAGCTTTATAATTTATCCTCTTCTTAACTGCAACTTTACCTGAATTAAATTTCAGGCACAGTACTTTGATTACATCCTTGCTAAGTACCACAATCTGATTTCTCCATTATGTAAGGAATGAATACAAATGGCCTGGCTGAGAAAGAGACAAAGGGGGCAGGAAGAGAGAGTGGACACAGAGAGAGAAAACAAATTAAGAGAAAGTCAGTCGGAGAGAGAGAGAGAAAAAGGAAGAAAGACAAAGAGGAGTCGAGGAACAAAGGGCTGAAAGAGGGGAACGAGAGCAGCCATCCAGTCTGGATGAGCCCCTCTTGACCTTCTTGGTGTGAGGAATTGTAGTGGAACACACACCAGTCTTTGAAGCCAGCCTTGTGCCACATGCTTGAATGGACCAGGCTGACTGTTGGCACCAAGTGTGTGGTGAGGAAAATCAAGTAGCTTTACAGGAGCATCTTCAGGTTTGGCCGAGGCTGTCAAAGCCCGTGCTGAAACCCGTACCTCGGTTTTCCCAGATCCTCACAGGTCCTGTGGCCTGTCACTCCCCTGCCAAAACTGGAGCTCATTTGTGGAATATGGTCGCCTTCCTATCGTGGGTGAAAGGGATGCAGGTCTCTGCAGAGTGTAGGATGAAAGAATGCACAGGACACAAGCACATTTCTCGTTGTCACCCAGTGATAACCCTCGTTTCTCCTGCCAGGCTGGATTCCACTCATATTTCACAAGCAAACTCTGGGCCTCGCTCATCTCTTTGCTCCGCTTCATATGAAATAATAACCTGTCCTAAATCGTAGGCTGAGTGCACTTTCGCCCTGAACCAGGAGGCCTGTTTTGACAGCCGACTGATAAAACAAAAATCTGATCATTAGGCGGGGGCCTGAAGGTTAAGGTTTAGAGCGTGTAACCAGTGATGGAAAGTATATTTATTATCAGTACAGTTCAGAAGGGGAAGAAAATCTCCAGAAACTTCTGTATCTGAATACAGGTTTCTTTAGGTAATTCAAGACCCACTCACTAACTTTTTCAGGAGCTTTCAACTGCTTCTCACAATCCTCAGTGGACTCCATCCACTGAGGTAGACCATGAGATGTGGTTGAAAGCCTCAGAAAAGGCTGCTAAATGTAACTCAGTCAAGACATCTCTGGATAAATTAAAGTCCCCAAAAAATGCACTCAATACAAAGCCTTTAAAGAGGAGTTGGCCAGGAGTATGCAATTAAAAGTGCAAAGCATTAAACTAATTAAGAGTGGATTTTATTGATCCTTAACAGCATGCGATGTTTTCTTGTAAATCTGTTTGAAAATCAAATACCGGCTGTCTGTCGCATAACTCAACTTTCCTGGTTTCAGATAAGCAGCGAATGAAAAAATGGGGACCATGTGGTTGTGTTAATTACTGCTGACTAATGAGAACAGATCTCACAGCTTGAGTTTGTTATACCACAACAAAGTTCGACTGTCTCAGTCAACTATCCAGAGGTTGTTGTCACAAGATCCAGTTCAGCTCATCCTGTGGGTATGACAAGTGTCAAATAAATCAAATCTCTAGAGAATTGCGAGACCGGCTTAAAGATTGATCATCTAGATTGTGGCTTGTAAAGTAGACAGTGTTATGATTGGACCAGATACCGAAGTTTGTAAGTAAGTGTTTGTATAGCTATTTCTTTGAGTACCAATCCTTAGTTTCATGTCAGTAGAGGAACAGCGCCATCTAGTGTTACATCTTGTAAGTATTTGACAGTGTGACAGTGTTGGTTTGCCCTATGGGGTAAATAATGAGGTCATAGCAGACCACAGGCATCCTGTTCATCAGTGTAGTACATCTTGTTTTGTAAAAGGTTAAATAAATTGTCTAAATACTGTTACAGAGTCAAACCTGAAGTCCCGTCAAGGAACTGTTTCTTTAACTGTTTTGAATTCTATTTGGATACCCTTTCTGAGGGTCTTTTTATGTCAGCCAGTGTTGTGGATATCAGTGGGTTCCAGGGTTTTAATCAGCAAAGATAACTGGATGGCTCAGTGAACCTTCTTACTGAAACAGGACTCTTGTTTATCAAAGAACTCAGAACAATCTCAATTATTAAAACTCATTGTTCCACACAAAAAAAACAAGACAAGAGATAAGACTGCACTAATTTATTTGAAGAACAATGGATTATGTAACAACTTAAATGTGATAATGTCTTTGAAAAGACACTATTCACTGTTTATAACAGATATAACATTCATCAGAAAGTTCAGTGAAACAATGTACAGATACTGTAAATACTTAAAACCAACCAGCATTAGCTAGCAGCACGAGTCCTCGTAACACTCATTCATCTTTACACAGCATGTGGCTTGTAGAAATGAAGTATACCAAATTATATAGCAAGAGCTTTCTTCCACAGTAACACATATCATAACTTATGTTAAAATAAAATGACACAGCTCCACTACATATAATATGTAACCATATTTGTACTGGAAAAGAAAAATACTTCAAATCTTAGCATTGTCATCATTTTAGTGCAATTACGACATTTTAACAGTCTTTCAAGACCTGGAATCTGAAATCTTCATATACATTTCAAGTCCTTTTAATGTGTAGAAACAATGCTCTTGCTCTTAAAAATACCCATACTCTAATCCCCTCTCTCTCTCTCTCTCTCCCTTGCCTTTTCTGTCTTGAAACTGCCAAACAAAACTCCAAAACCCTGACTAGCCAGCCTACTATGTCACAAGACAAACTTCACAAATTAGCAGACAGCAGCCAGCAGTTTAGTAGACAAGTAGTCTACTAGAAATGTAACCTATAAAAGTTATTTTTAACTGTATACTTGTAAGACCACTTTCCCTTTTTGAAAATGAAAAAGGTTTCATTGAAAAACAGCACAATAATTATTTTAAATTATAGTTTAGTTAATCATCTATTTAGATGAATTATTTGAAAAATTTGAACATTTAAAACTAACCATTGGTTTTTTTCCACCTGTGTTGCAGTCGTTCCAATTACAGCAGTTTTTCTGTACAGAAGTGTAACCTCACTTTCTACACAGTCTCTATACTGCATTTCTACAGTAAAACCCTTTGAAAATCGAATAAAATTAAAAACAACTCATAAGTATTTGCCATACAGTAGCTTTAGCTAATGTGGATTATCTCTTTGCAGGTTGTCGGTGTATTGTATTGTTGGTTACGTGAATGGTTGTAGTTTAGAAGGACATGATGGTTCTCTGGATGATGTCGACGCATTCGTGCAGCTCGTCCTCTTTGATGATGAGGGGAGGGGCCAGGCGGATGATGTCACCATGGGTGGGCTTTGCCAGCAGTCCGTTGTCACGAAGGCGCAAGCACACTTTCCAAGCGTCATAGCCTGGGGGGAGGTTGTTTGAATTTATTTTATTTATTTTGTGCCCTTCGGACAATTGAAAGTGGACATACTTCATCCACAAAACTAAAGCCTACTAGCTGAGATTTTTACTGCTGTTTCACAAAGAGTTTAGTACTGTACCTTTGGTCTCTTTGATGACGACTGCGTTAAGGAGCCCTTTCCCTCTGACTGTTGTCACAATGTCTTTAGGCAGTTTTCTCAGCTCGGACCGCAGCAGCTCTCCCATCCTTTGAGCATTCTCTGCCAGCTTCTCCTCCTCCATCACCTGCAAATAAGAACAGTAAGAAATATGAAATAAAATAAAAAGATCATTTGACATTGTTGATCATTGTCACATGCACATTTTTCTTCCGATGTTAAATTGTCTTTGAAGGTAGCTATAGAACGGTTATAATTAATTTAACTGTATGTTGTAGTGGAAGTAAAGACAAAGTAATGAGCTGTTGAAGAGTAGACGTGCAAGGCAAAGATAAGTAAAGTGCACTTTAACACTGACCTGAAGTGCAGCGATAGCAACCTGACAGGCCACGGGGTTACCTCCATATGTGGACCCGTGTTCCCCGGGCTTGATGGTCAGCATTACCTCATCATCACACAGCACTGCAGATACCTGAGGCACACAAACACAAAATCACTTAAAGCAAAGATAAAAGTGACACAACTACTGTGGTCTAATACTCCTGTGCAACAAAACTGAACAACATCAGTCCATAAGGTTAGAGTCTTTGACTCTTGCAAAATAAATCTATAATGTGACTTAACGTCAATAAAAATGCTTACGGGGTAAACTCCTCCAGAAAGAGCTTTACCCAGAATCACCACATCTGGACGGACATCCTCGTGGTCCACAGCCAGCCGCCGGCCAGTCCTTGCCAAGCCTGTCTGCACCTCATCAGCAATCCACAGAACCTGGGCAAAACAGAACAGAGATCTCAAAGCCCCTGAAACATATTGGTTATATGATCATTGTCATGATCTTGAGGAAGGAGAAATCTTCCAACACGGAAAAAAAAGTCCATTGATTTTCCATTGAAAGTACAATCATTTTGTATCATATTTAAAAAAAAAAAAAAATAATAATAATATATATATTA